GTCCAAAAACAGAAAAATAAACCAGAAATAACTGAGCACAACTTACAATCTCAGACTTAAGCTCCAAATCAGAAACCAAACTGTTCTTTTTCTCTGATTCTTCCTAGTCACCGAACCACTCTCCAAGAGATTTGAGTCTTGGGCACCCTCCAATGACCTCCAAGAATTAGGCGACACAAGCTGAAGCTTCCAGCCCTAGAACACTCTCATGTAGTCGGCTGGACTACACCCACATGAAAGCCCAAGCCAAGTTCAGGCCTACTCTGATACCAAGAAGAAAAACAGTCTTTGAGAGTGTGGGACTGTTTAGAATAGATGCCGAAATCAAAAGAAATAAAAAAAAAACAACAGAAAATACTTCTTCTATGGAGTGGAAGGTGAAGAAGGAGATGGTGGCAATAAGGGTTTAGAGTATGAAAGTTTCGAACCTTGCTCTCTCTCTAACACCCTAACACTATTTTATTAAGTTAAATTTGAATAATTACAAGGAGGCCCTTAGTTGGGCAAGAAATTACAAAGAACATAACATAGAAAGGATGGGCCCAGAATAAGACCCATTATAGAAATGAACATAAACAGTAAGAAAGGATAAACAGCCTATGGGCCATTCGGCCCATCTTCTCTACACCCAATATGTCTTCTATGATCACATTTCCCCCTCATACCGAGCCTTCCTATCTATAGTTGATTGCATCCCTGTACCCAGAAATGCTGCAGAAACCTTAAAATACCCTGAATGGACAGATGCTATGAAGGAGGGGATTAATGCCCTCCATAAAAATCAAACTTGGGAATTGGTGGATCTTCCAAGGGGGAAAGACCCAATGGGGTGTAAGTGGGTGTTTACAGTTAAACACAAGGCAGACAAGATAGTTGAAAGGTACAAAGTAACATTAGTAGCAAAGGGGTACACTCAAGTGTACGAGGTTGACTATGATGAGACATTTGCACCAGTAGCTAAGATGAACTCAATTTGAGTTCTTCTGTCATTAGCTGCTAACCTTGACTGGGAACTGCATCAACTAGACATAAAGAATGCCTTTTTAAATGGTGACCTAGAGGAGGAGGTGTACATGGTTTAACCTCTTGGATTCTGTGCCAAGGGAAGCGAAAATAAGGTGTGCAAGCTGAGAAAGTCTCTTTATGGCTTAAAACAATCTCCCAGGGCTTGGTTCAGTAAGTTTCATATGACAGTCCAGCAAGTAGGATTCAAGCAATGTCAGTCTGATCACACTCTCTTTGTGAAGAGATGTCAGGAATAGGTTGCTATATTGATAGTGTATGTGGATGATGTCATCATTACAGGAAATTGGAGTTCAAAAATACAAAAGTTGAAACAATTCCTTGCATCTCAATTTGAAGTGAAAGATCTAGGTCCTCTAAAGTATTTTCTTGGAATTGAAGTTGCCTGCTCAAAAAGGGGCATCTTCATTTCTCATAGGAATACACCCTTGATTTGTTACAAGACATAGACAAGCTAGGTGCAAGGCCAGTAGATACTCCCATGGATGTTGATCATAAAGTGGGTGACTGTGATGGTGAACCTCTGAAAGATGTGAAACAGTCCCAAAGGTTAGTGGGAAAGTTGATTTATTTGTCCATGACCCGTCTAGACATTACCTATTCAGTTGGGCTCTTGAGCCAATTCATGCACTCTCCTAAGAAACTGTAATCTGAAGTGCTATACTCGAAGTAGCAAGGAAGAAAAGAGAATGACAGAAAAGAAGAGAATGTCGAMCTGTMCTWGCCAGTCRAYMAGTTCTTTATTTATAGATGAATATAGTACAAGGTACAAGAAATTACTGGGATGCCCCTGATTAGTGATGGGACACCCAGATGACTTAAACATTAAACAGGATTNTACAAGGTACAAGAAATTACTGGGATGCCCCTGATTAGTGATGGGACACCCAGATGACTTAAACATTAAACAGGATTAGGCCCATTAACACAAGCCCAGTTACAAGATAAGTTAAACATAAGAATGGGCTAATAAGAACTCTTATCAGCCGAACATAACTCTAATATTCTAACAGAAACCACACATGGAGGCAATAGAGAGAGTTCTTAGATACTTAAAAAAGTATCCAGGAATAGGTCTACTGTTCAATAAACATAATCATCTAAAGGTGGAAGTCTTTACAGATGCGGATTGGGCAGGTGTTGTGGATGATAGAAAGTCCACAAGTGGGTATTGCACATTTGTGGGAGGAAACCTAGTGACATAGAAAAGCAAGAAACAAAGTGTGGTAGCAAGGTCAAGTGTTGATGCGGAGTATAGAGCTATGACACATGGGATGGCTGAAGTTCTCTAGCTAAAGAACCTTCTAGGGGATCTTGGAGTTGTTGTTCATAATCCTATGTCTCTTTACTGTGACAACAAGGCAGCCATAAACATCGCCAACAATCCTATCCTACATGAGAGGACCAAGCACATTGAAGTGGACAAACACTTCATAAGGGAAAAATTGGAGAAAGGGGAAATCTGACCCCTTATGTCAACTCTAAGGAACAACTTGCTGATGTCCTCACAAAAGGACTTCCACACTCAGATGTGTGGGTCAGCCCAAAGGTTGGTGGACAGTTGCAGGGGTCTATCATCGTCTTTTTCAATCCCTGTTGCTCGTCCCCCCGCCTTGAGTTTGACGCAGAGTTGCAGAGATGCCTCTAAAGCTCATGGGGACGCCAAAAAAAGTGGTACCGCCACATGGGGATGGATGCCAGTGCAGACGAGCAACTCTACATCTCCAGATAAGCYCAATCCGAAATTTAATAGGCACGAGAGYGACGAATCTGAAGAGGAAAGCGACTGGGWAGACCCAAGGCAAGAAAAGATGTATCAATCAGAGCTTCTTTTAGTATCAGAAGTGTCAACACTGCTAAAACGTGTATCTTGTGGGAYGACGAAAAACTGGGAACAGAGTTATTGTTCGAAGACCCCTCTACCTGTGCCAGCGTGGCTCCAAGAGAAGAATACGGTGATAGTCCTGCCCCAATCTTAGTGGTGAACCCAGTTTCAGTTAGAAGAGAARATGGAGAATTCCCAGGGGAGGCACAGYGACAAGATATTAATAAAGGAATGTCAGATCTTGTTACTAACCCAGACAAAGAAGCACAGGAGGAACAAAACAGTAATTTTATATCAGAGTTGCCTGCCAAGGTTACCGAACCAGTGGGTATTGATAAAGGGAAGGACTCGGGATTGCTGACACATGGAGTCCCTAACCCCTCTTCTTCGTGCTTATCTTTTCAGCTTGTGAGTCCTTGTTTAGATCCCTCTAAATTATTATGATGTGTCTGCGCAGGTACAGCCAATGCCACTCCTCTCAGGAATCTCTCAATGAAAAGTGCCACAGCCCAAGATTCTGAGAACCTATCAGACAATAGTCCTCACAAAAGGACTTCCACACTCACGGCACAATAGTCATGTGATAAGCTGGGCATTATTCATCCCTACTTGAGGGGGAGTGTTGTTAGGGTTATTTATTTGTTTTTTATAGTTGTTGTTAGTATGCTATCAGCCTAAGATGCTGCCAGCTAGTTCCTTCTTTTTTATTTGTTCGTTATTAGGGAGTGCCGCCCGGGGCATATTTGTAACCTCCTACCTATTTTACGTTAAGTTAATATAAATAAGAAGCTGGGCGCTGCCAGCTATAGTTTTTGACTCTCAGTCGGATCTCTCTCCCTTCTCTTCTCTCTCTTCTCTCCTCTCTCTCTCTCCAAGAAAGAAAACAATAACTAATCATTGATCTATGTAAATAAGAATAATAATCATATTATTATTATTATTATTAAGAAAAACCAATTAGGAGAAGAAATGAGAAAAAATAACAAACTTCGGACATTACATTTAGAATAATAAGAAAAATCTCACTTGATTTATTCAAAACTAAGAACTTGATTAGTCCCTTTTGTATTGAACTACCTTAAAACACTAAGAAAAATTAACATAATTTGATTTGCCTTATTAGTTTTCCATTTTTACTTTTTTATTTGGTCCATAATTATTGAAGTGTTTTTCCTATATGTTTTAAATTATACAAAAAACATTTTTTTTGCATTAAATCACTAATTAATCATTGATATTTGCGGCTTATGCCTTTTTACACCTCAGGCTACGCCTCACACCTTGAGGCTTGAAGCTTGCACCTCATTTTAAATTATACATAATCTGTGTGCATACACCTCACGCTTCAAGGCTTAAGCCTTTTAAAACAATGCTGCTTGGAACTCCACAAAAACCAAGTCCCCTATTCCAACTGGCCTGAGAAAACAGCAACAATATGTCCATTATTCCTGAAAACTCCTATGTCATACGGACCTGGGTTCCCTAGACTGCCACCACCAAAGTTCAACTTGATAAAGCCTTCATCAGGAGGTTCCCAAGCTACCACTGGTTTGTTCCTCGAAAGAGAAATCTGAGAACTTCTAGCTACAGCTCCCCAGTTTCTCCACAAGTCATCAAAAGATATCTCTGAGAACAGGCTTGAGGCTTTAATCCAAAGTATAGCTCTATTTAAGATACACTCTCACACTGCCTCCTCACTCCTTTCTTTATCACTGAAGACTCAGCCATTTCTCTCTTCCCACACCTTCCATTATCATCTAATGTTAGTTTTAGTTACCAACCAGAAAAACATTTTTGGTCAAACTTTACCTTCTGCCATGGTGTCACAGATTCTCAGCTGCAGTGAATAAGCAGATTGCTTATAAGTAATTAAGTGGTAACTATTTGATTCAATTGTCAAATTGCTTTAATACAAAGGCACATGGTAATGAATGAAAACATGAGTTAATATCTATTATTCAAATTAGATATCTAAATGGACCAGAATATATTATCCCTGACTGATAATCATGTGACAAACAGAAAACTGCAAGAACAGGTCATTTCATTGGCTAAAACTAAGTGTTTCCATACTCCAGTCCTGATTCTTATTCCACAAGCTGATTCAGAAAGCAAACTATTTATTATGACAACAAATATCCATACCACAAACCTTTGATTAGGTCACCCATGAGGCTATTTACAGGTCGTTCATCCCCAAGTCCACCTGGAGAACTTAGAATTTCCTTGCACAATGCAGACTTAGCACAACCTGGTATACCTGAAGTGGGAATGAATTAAGATGGTTATCAGCGTGGAGGCAAAACTTTCCAAGCAAGAGATGTTTAAAGTAATCAAATTTGTCATTGAATACTTTTTTCTTTAAGATTAAGATATTAGGAGCTCTTAGGATAGAGAACCAAGGAAAGAAGTTATCAAGAGGCAAAAATTGCTAGACAAACAAAAATAGAATAGCAAAGCAAAAAATACAAATCTACTGTATAATGCAGATACTTGCCTTGGTCTCCGTGCAGGCAATAAAAGTTAAATCAAACTATAGCATCATATCATATAAGGTTAAGGTATTTTAAAAAAAGTAAAGCAAAATTTCAAAATCTGTCTAGTCATTTTTTTTTTAACTTTTTGCCTTTTTTTATCTTTACTTGCACAAGTGCATGGCACTTTCCTTACACTAGTCCTATATAATGCCAAAACATACTTTGGCAAGTGGCCTCATGTCAGTGTGACCAACCACTTTTGTAGATGCCTATAAAAGTTAAACCAAGCTTCTCTAGCAGACCCTAATAGTTATAAATGTCCTAACTTCACCAAATGCATCTTTCTAAGGATAAAGTTTATTTCAATTGTACCTTTTTGCATTTCCCTTTATAAGCTTTTTTCATTTTTTTTGAAGAATAAAAGGAAAATGATAAGATATCATCCAAAAGGAGAGAACAACTAAATTATTATCCTTCTCAAAAAAAAAAAAAATCAGCTACTATCTTATAATTTGCATGTATGCCCTAATTGTATATTTGTATTTGGGTAAGAGAAGAATTTTAATATCTATGTGCATTTCCAACCTTGATAAATACTTGTTGAAGCTAGTACACACCCAAGCCAATGAAAGTTACAGGTTTAGTAATGATACACACGAAATAGATACAGGAAAATATAATCTAGCTTGAGCCCATCAGGAGAGTTTTACCTGGAAAGAATACAATCAGACCCTCACTTTTTGGAACTATGTCCTTCACTGTCGGACTCTGACTTGAAGGTGATACTTCCCGCTCTGTCTCAAGGTCACCCTCTTCATCCCTGCCTCCTTCAACAATGGCCAGAAAATCTTCAGCTCTTATTAAGTTTCCAGCAGATCCTATCAGAGCTTGATTCTCTGGACTGCGCTTTGCATACTGCTCCAGGAAAGGCTCAGCTTCACTAAGATAAATGGATGATGACAGTTGTTTGTTCCCACATTTCCTCCTTATGTACACAGCCCTATTGATGAAAAAAATATCCAACTGGCATATTACTTTTTTTTTATTGATAAGGGAGCTTCTCTACCTGACATGACCTATTTATGCCATATGATCAGATCCTGTGGCCAATCCATATCATCCATTAGATGGGAGACCTACAGGATTGGCCACATGTTCAACTGAACTCCATGTCAACCTTATACCCCATATAGGAGTTTCCCAATATATGGTAACCATCAATAGTTTTATTTTTTTAATATAATTTCACATGGTAAGGTCTTTTGGAGCTGAAAACTTTTCTCTGAATCAAGGGTGCAGAAAGGAATACGAAAACTCCTTTGAACATCAAAACTGAATAGAAATCCAGTCCCCATCATCATCAATAACATAATGAAAAAAGAAGATAATGAAAGTGTAAGATATAAAACAGAAAAAATCCAAAGTAAGACTAACAATACCATTCGTCTAGCATCTTGCTGAGTTCCCTCTGCTTTGCAGCTGATGTGTTCCATGTTTTCATTTGCCTATCAATGTTGAGATGCCAATCATATATTAGGTAATTTAAAAGTGGAAATTATTAGTATGATGGTTGTAGATTAGACTGCAGTGAATCATAAAAGGCAAGAGCTCAACTGCAAAGATTAGAGAAATGACTATATCAAGGTATGGCTATGTTCAAGTGACTTTTATATTGCCAATCTGAAGAACCCTTATCTTGAGTTCAAAAGACAATTTCTAAATTCACAGCCTAAAGTAATTACATAATGCACACAATACTGTCATTACTCAACCCTCTAATTAATTGCATTCTATAACAGTTTGGTAAAAGAATTATACTCACCTCAAGTAGTATGCTTTGTAAGCAGATGGACCTTCTTTGAAGAGAATGGATAAGCCATTGCGTATCAAGAAAGTTCGTAACTGTGCATTATAGACAACAGAAGCCAACCACCAGAGTGTGAAATATGTTCTCACATAGCACACGAATATACATATCCATCTAATAGTAGCAATATTACATTTCCATATAGGAAAAACAAGGCTTAGATCCTATTTCATCCACATAAATGCAAGTAGAAGATTTGAATGTGTTTGTTGGTCGTTCAGTTAAGATAAGTCAAAGACTTGGATTATTGCTTACACTCCTTTACCCATTTGCTTCTAGACTTTTATCTGCATTTTATTTCCTCCCTTCATAGAATTGTATCAAGTTCATATTTTAAATTCCATCTATGCCTCATTTCCTCTTTCGACGTCTGTTTTTTATAGGAAATGGTAACTTTCATTGACAATTTGAAATAAAATTACAGAATTACAGACTTACCACCCACAGGATGGATAAAACATCAGAACAAAACCTTACAAACAAGCCCAAAACAAAGCCTCCTTAGTAACTCCTTGCTTAGCTAAAGTATCATCCATTCCATTTGCTGACCTTCTTACCCATTTAAATTGCACCCCAATCTCCCTTGCTAAGCTAATAATCTCTCTTAGAGGCCAAGTGGCCAAACTCCCAAGTTTCCAGATTGCATCCACCCTATTACCAGCTTGGAGTCTCCTTTCACTTCTAAATGCTGCATTTGCCATTGTTTCGCCAATCTCAGGCTTTGGAGTAAGGCCATGACTTCTGCCCTTAAGGGCCAAGACTTTTCCTTCCTCATTTCTGAACACACCCCCAACTCCCAACTGACCTGAACTACCCAAAGAGCTTCCATCAAAGTTTAACTTCACTCTGAATTGAGGCGGTGGTAACCAACTTTCTTGAACCACAGGGGAGGAGGGAGAGGATACAGCCATAGCACTCCAATTTCTAATTAAATCAGCTGAGGAGAAGTCCTTGAAGAGATGTTGCATTTTCAGCCAATGCATAACCTTGATGGTAATAACCTCAACAATTGCTTCCTTGGACTTCTAGTGCCCTTGGAAGATCCTATTGTTTCTCTCTTCCCAAATTGACCAAAGGATGGCTAAAGTGGAAGAAGTCCCAAGAACAGTGGAGATGGAAATAGGCGAAACTCAGATTGTGGTTTGGTTGCTGTCATCAGTGGAGGAGAGATTGTGGAGAAACTTGTGGGAGGTAGAAGATGATGACGTGGCAAGGGTCAAAGAAAGGGAAGAAGAAATAAAGAAGATTGACAGCTCAAAAGAAAGGAAGTTGAACGGTCATCATATTCGAAAGTTCGAAATTGGTGCATTAATGAAGAGGTTAAATACGAACTGTCTATTAACGCACGCGTGGCCTGTCAAAGATCTTTTGCAGAGGTGACAGCTGGAAGAGGCAGTAAAACGTCATTTAACTTTAAACACGCATCAGTAGTCAAACCAATGGGTGAACCGAGCGAACCAAGGGCTCAGATGTGTGGGTCAGCCCAAAGGTTGGTGGACAGTTGCAGGGGTCTATCATCGTCTTTTTCGATCCCTGTTGCTCGTCCCCCGCCTTGAGTTTGACGCAGAGTTGCAGAGATGCCTCTAAAGCTCATGGGGACGCCAAAAAAAGTGGTACCGCCACATGGGGATGGATGCCAGTGCAGACGAGCAACTCTACATCTCCAGATAAGCTCAATCCGAAATTTAATAGGCACGAGAGTGACGAATCTGAAGAGGAAAGCGACTGGGTAGACCCAAGGC